GAGGGGTTCGACCAGTGGTCATTGCCTTTGAATTGGAAATTACGTTTCGGACGGCCAAGTGTCGATTTTCACCCCCCGTATTAACGGCTCTCCGCCAGACGACTCGCCGCCGTGGAGGCGCGAGGCTTCGTTTCCCTCGTCGTCTCCTCTCGCTACCTACCACCTCCTCGGCGAGGGTGAAATTCAAGATTGTCGGAATGCCGCACGCAGCACCTCTTCCCTCGTCTTCTTTCTGTCTCGCGACCTTTTGTTTTTGCGGAGTTACGAGTCCAAACAGAGGAGGAGGAGAAGGAGGAAAAGGAGAGAGAGAGAGAGAGAGAGAGAGCCATAATGAAGTAGAGCCCGCTGCCTCGCACCCTCTCCGCTGAGATCGACGAGGGGGGGGGGGTGCAAAGCCCCTTTCTGAAATCAACCCTTTCGAAGTAGCGTTGGCTCGTTGGTAGGCGCGAGTATCTCGCAAGCGCTCGAATGATTTAATCCCCGAATGATGGACGGGCACGTCGCGACGATGATCTGCGTGCCGTGAAGTGACAAGTGGTTAGGATCACGCGGAAACCTCTATTACTCGCTCTCCGGCCGCGGCGGCGGCGGCGGCGGCTGTGTTGGTGTCGGATGAAACGGAGGCCGTCGGTCGGTTGGATGGATTTTGCGGCGTACAGGAGAGGGATATATATAGGGTGCACGGCGCGGTGGGAGAGAAGGGCTCTCGCACCATACAAATCATGTTGGCATTACTACGTCAGGCCTGGACTCAACTTGTCGCGCAACCGGAAACTCGATACCGCTTCCCCGGTAATACTGATTTATCGGAAGTGCAGCGGGCGGGCCTAGGCCCGCGTCATCGGGCTCGATGTATGCGCTGCGTTCTGTATTTTTGCTGCCGTCCGTGAGTGTGGCGCGATTTTTCCGGCTAATCGAGAATTACGGGTTCACGGGTGAACGGCGTTGCATGAACCTCCCCCCCCTTGCACGGGCGCTATCACTCGTGCGCTCGAAATTTCTGCGTGAAACCACCCAGCGATGACCGCAACGCCACGGTCCGGTACGATTTTTCCCCTCCCTCCGCATCCTTTATCCTGTTCCTTTTTAATACGATTTTGATGTCCTACCTTTCGAGATGTTTGACAATATCTTCGTAGGCAGCTCGGCAGTTTTCCCAAACCGTCCCGGACCTGTGGAGCACAAAACAAAAGGCGGTTACGACACGAACGAAATGAAGAAAAGAAAGCAGCCTAAGTCTCGGATAAAACGGCGACTATCTATAAATAAATAAATGTAAAATCAAAAGGGAAATGAAAGGAGAAACGCGTTGTTACGCGATCGTAATACTAGTCGCATAATCGCGAGGGGGCGTCCTCCTGTGAGAGGACACGGCTGATTGAGAGTCCTCGTTCCGTCTCATCTCGGCTACGACACGATTTCGACCGTTGCCGAACGCACCGAGAATGAAGAGCCTTTGATGTCGTTGATTAAAAAAGAGAGATGTCAGCGCGGTAGGAGCGGAGTTAATTTGCGACCTAGGATCGCACCGGTCGCGGGGGAGGGGGCAAAAAAAGATAGGGGAAAGAAATGGATAAGTTAATTTGGGGGGGGGCGGGGGGGACCGCGATCTTCGTTTGCGTAATATATAAATAGAAACGAAAACGGAAATCAGGCATCATCACGGCGCTTTGAAAATGTCCGAGTACATTATCCTGACGAGGAGCTCCGGGACCGGGAATGTCAATACGCCTGACACGGTTTCCACGGACTCGCGCGTTGACGATTCGTTGTGTTTGCACGGCGGGGAACGGATCTCAGTGTCAATTGAGAAAAGCGAGAAGGAAAAGCGAGGAGTACACGGAGAGGAAAGCCGTACGTGTCATCCGTGGAAACTGGTCGAAGAGGTCACGCAGGGTGACGAAAGGTTGGCGCGGGGAAGTTGGAGGCGGAGGGAAGAAGGAGATACGGCGGCGAGTTAAGGGGTGGCGACAAGGCAGGACGGCGGGGCAGCGGGGGTGGCGGCGAGGGGGAGGGGAAAGCGGGTGGACGCGGTGACGGTGGTGGCGTCGGTATCCCAGGATGGGGTTGCGTTGAATTAATCATATTCCGGTGTTTGTCGTGGCGCCCCCAGACGTAATCCGTCTTACCTCCCGATCTCTCTCGCTCGCTCGCTCCTCCGTCGCGATAGATTTGCATTTTAATTAAAAGCAAAGCGCTGAAATCATAATGCGAAACGTGCGGCGCCGCCTTCACCGTGTCATTATACACGCCCGCGCGTATGCGTGTACGCGCGTCGCTAGCACACACGCACACGTTTCTCTCGCACGTTGCTACATTCACTCGCGAACGCACGTCGTGTTGTTAAGAAAGATTGAGACGCGTTAAAAATCCGGAGCGTCGGCGTCGGCTTTGCATCGAGAATAATTTATATACAAAGTGCGTAAATCGAACTGTTTAAAGTGAGAGAAAAAGTATTTAATTTAATATGTGATTTTTTTTTCGTCTTCGGTCATTATTTATTGTATTCGACGAGGTTACCAGAAATCATTCTCCGACGTAGAACCGACCGAAAGGAAGAAATTATCAAATCCCTGTGTCTGCCGCTAAGTCCCTAAGATTTTCCGGGCGCGCGCCGCCTAAAGCGAACGCTCGAGCAAAGGGGGTAACAGTTAGGAGGATGGGGCTAATTACACGGGGCGGATGTAATCGAAAATTAAGGCGAGTCTCCGTATCCTCGGAAGCTTCGGCCGGTTACAGGAGCGTATCGCGGGAAGCGGGAACGTACCAAGAGTATCTATTAGAAACGCGTTAACAAATGCCGGGATTAGCCTCGTGTCTATCCCCTCGAGTAAGGATGAGGATGTAGCTCCTTTGGTGCTCCTTTCTCTCTCTCTCTCTCCCTCTCTCTCTCTCTCTCTTCTCTGTTTCTCTTTCTGTTTCTCTCGAGTCTTCGCGGCTCTCCACACACACACACGCGCGCGCGCGCGCGCACACACACACGCACACTTCACGAAGCCGAATAAGCCGCGATATTCGTCTTGGGACCGCGCGAAAGCGGCAAGGATTTGCCGTCTCAAGAAGGCCTTCGTGTCTTCAAAGATGGCCTAACATCACAAGAGGGATCTAAATGCTAGTAGAATCTCAAGGTCGATTCGAATTATGAATAATAACACGTCTTGAGACAACGCGAGAGAGATTTGCCACGTCTTCGTGCAGTATGCAAGATTAAGTTACTTCTCTTAATTATTTTTTATAAACACACGGCTTATTTATTATACGATCAAGCTGCCTTGCTCGGTCGGAAATTAAAATTCAATAAATTTACAAAACTCTCGCTTGATCGTAGATGTACATCCAAGAAACAAGATTAATTATCGACGCGTTAGAGCGTTCGTCGCTGTGTAACGTAATCCAAACCGAATAAACGACGAGCGTCTGAGAAAGTGAAATCGAAGGAAGACGCGAAGACAAAAAAAAAGAGGAATCGAGGGTAACGAGAAGAAGTGCAAGAAGGAGAAAGAGATCAAGCGGTGTCAAGACTCCTCGAATTTCCACGGCTTCGCTGTCTCTTCCAATCCTCTTAAAGTCGTATTCTTTTGGCCTCGCTTGGCCAAAGCAATCGCCGTGAGGCACTCAGAACGGATAAATCCAATTTCCGAATGAACTGTCGATTAGCGTGGAAGCAGGTACAAGAAACTATAGAATATCGAAGAACGGAACTCGAAGTTTTAATTTTTCAGAGGAGCACCGAACGAGAATTCCTATTTCACTCTCTGTCAATTTTATTGCGCCTCTCTTCGTGCGTCGCTTATTACCATCTCGTCCGATATACGACTTGTCCCCGGCACGTAAACTTCCTTGGGGAGGAAGGTAATGAAAATGTTTCCCGCTGCGCGAGGAAGCGCAGCTTCCGGAACATCGCAAGAGAACGACGAGAGTCTGCGGTTTCTCGACGCTTCTCTGACATGCCGAGATGGACCGAGAAAGGAAGAAGGGAAGACTCACCTCGCGAGGGCTTCCATGTTGGTCATATTCGGATTGACCTTGAGACCCTGCTCGGCCCGAGCCTGTGCTTGCGCTTGCAGGTGATGCGGTAGACTGGCCGGTGACAGGATAGCGGTATGTCCTGCACCTGGATGCCCGCCGAGCTGCATGAACTGCATGTGGCTCAGGTGCGTGGGTGGGTGATTGTATCCATTCGCCAGAAGCGGTGACTTTTCCATCCTTGGTACGTCTGCAAGCAGAATATACATGCATTTCAGATTCCGTTATATATATATCGTACGATTTAAACGCAACATACGCAACACGTGACGTACTATAACCACCCTCCTATCTCTCTCTCTCTCTCTCTCTCTCTCTCTCTCTCTCTCTCTCTCTCTCTCTCTCTCTGCGAAGAAACTGCGTAAATTCAATTATCGATCATCCTCCGCCTTTCATGGCTACGGCAATGGCCGGGAGGAAGGCTCGTGAGATGAGAGAGAACCAAAGACTGACCGGGAAAGGGGGAGGGGAGCGGCCGTGTATCCGGATTTCACCGGAATCGGGTGAGACGTGTAGCTTCTGGCGAGCCAAGGATAAAGAGCGCTTTTGCGGACTTGATGGATCGCTGTGCCGCTTAACCAAATATCAATCACAACAGGCGGCGGCGCGTAGCCTCTGCATATAATCTGAGCGTTGATTCGCGCGTCCGCCGTTAGACCCGTGTGTTTGCGCGACGCCTTAGCTAGCCACCGTGATGGATACGCTCGCGAATCCGTGGGGCCTCGGGTAAACCGCCGACCCGGGCGGGTTTCATCGCCTGACTGTATCGATGCCTCTTCTCCCCCCCCCCCCCTCTCTCTCTCTCTCTCTCTCTCTCTCTCTCTCTCTCTCTCTCTCTCTCTCTGCGAAGAAACTGCGTAAATTCAATTATCGATCATCCTCCGCCTTTCATGGCTACGGCAATGGCCGGGAGGAAGGCTCGTGAGATGAGAGAGAACCAAAGACTGACCGGGAAAGGGGGAGGGGAGCGGCCGTGTATCCGGATTTCACCGGAATCGGGTGAGACGTGTAGCTTCTGGCGAGCCAAGGATAAAGAGCGCTTTTGCGGACTTGATGGATCGCTGTGCCGCTTAACCAAATATCAATCACAACAGGCGGCGGCGCGTAGCCTCTGCATATAATCTGAGCGTTGATTCGCGCGTCCGCCGTTAGACCCGTGTGTTTGCGCGACGCCTTAGCTAGCCACCGTGATGGATACGCTCGCGAATCCGTGGGGCCTCGGGTAAACCGCCGACCCGGGCGGGTTTCATCGCCTGACTGTATCGATGCCTCTTCTCCCCCTCCCCCCCTCTCTCTCTCTCTCTCTCTCTCTCGTGGCTTATTTCCCATATATTCGATATCGAACGGCAGCACGCTTGTATTATTCTTCGTGGTTCGCCATCGTCTCGAATCCTCGATTTTTCAAGACAAACTCGACCGACTCTTTCCCTTCTTCTCTCTTTCTTTCGTTAGTCAGCAGCACGGAGCGATAATATATGCGTAGTCACGTTTTTTGATCGATGCCACGTACCTTCGGCACGTGTCTCCCGTCGCGAGGAAAACTCGCGAGAAGAACGACACGACGTCGCGCGCCACGTCTCGCTGTTTGTTATACCGACACGCAGAGCTAGCATCGATATGTTTTCCCCTAGAGTGTAATTCGGTGTCTATATGCAATCCTATACTACTCGGATAACGTAGATTTATTTCTTCGGCGTCTAACAATCACGTTTAATCACATTGTACGGCGTATCGTATGAGCGAATGCACACATCTATTTGAAACGTGTCGAGGTCAATCCTTCCCGCTTCGGGTGAGGATGAAGTCTCGAATTCTTTCTTAAGTGGAGTCTAGGATAAACTCGACTCGATCGATTTCAGAGGGCTCTCTATCGCGATTTATTGTGTCTTTCTCAGAACCGTCATCCACGCGGACCTGTGAAATATTGGATAAACTATACTGTTGTCATTGCCAATCTGACCGACGTGTACTTTTGGAGCCCAAGACCGAGCGCGAGAAAGAAGAAGGAGGAGGAGGAGGAGGAGGAGGAGGAGGAGAGGAAGAAGAGCAGTAGGGGTATGGAATGAGTGGTGCCTATTCATTACAAATTATCTAAATGGCAGTGATTTCGGCGGACCGGCTGGCCGTTTGACGAGTAAGTGGCGGGTTCGCCGGTCCCAGTGACTGTCATTCCGCGCCGGCTGCGGGCCAATTGGCAGCCGATGGCCAACGGGCGACCGAATCGTCCGACAACCACTGCGGGACCCGGCCCATGACCGGCCCTAAAATTGGACTTATTACAACTTATAGAGCGCGATTTGAACGCTCCGCTCAATAACATACATTATCCCCAATCCATATGATTTAATGAAATCCCTCTAAACTCGCCACTTAGCCTCAGTACCTTCTCGCGCAGCGCCCCTTTTTATATATGTGCCCTCGCACGGACTGGCACGTATATCGCGCGAAAAGAAAGGAAGGGTGAGACCGAGAAACGGGCACAAAAGCAAGAAAGAAGACACGTTATATATTGTAGGTACCTAAAACGTACGTTTCGCGATTTTACAGCTCCGACAATACGTATTTACCAACCACAATGCATGCAACGTCGGCATTCCACGATCGATGAAGACGTTTCGAGGTCCTTGACGCGTGTAATGCTACGCACATCGCTAGTCTTCCACGGAGAAAGAGAGATAAGAACGATGTGCGTGCGCGTTCTTCTCTTTTTTAAATGTCAAATATCCGTCGTCTAGTTCGACGCTCTATTCGTTATAATAATGCGAACACTCGAGAGCAAGAGAGAGTGAACATGCGACGCACAATTGTATCTGAGAATCGTCGCGTCTGGTAAGAACGGACATCTTTCGAGAAGACATCGGGCAAAGGCCCGAAAGAAGGGGGCCATTCCGGGCGGCTCAATCACCCACCCTCCGGTCGCTGGGACCCTAAAGCGAAAGCCAAATGCGAAAGACGATAAAACACAATTTGAGCTAAAGACTGCACTCCTATAACCTCCCGCCCCCTGCCTCCGCGCAGACGATGAACGCTCCCCGCCACCTCCCCTGGCCCTTCCCCTCCCGGAGCTGATGAGGTGACAACCCATAATTATACAGACCGCTTTCTGTCTGAGGCTGACTGCGGTGGCATGCAGAAGAGAGGCCTCCATCATCCTCCTCCGTTCTCCTTCGCTCTCGCCCCGCCGTCGCCTCATCTCTTACCTCTTACCCCTATTTCCTTTTCTTCATTCTTCTCCGTCTCTTTTCCGTTCCTCTCCCCCCCCCCCTCATCTGCGTCTCCCCCTTTCGCCATTCTTCTCCATTTCCTTCTTCTTCTTCTTCTTCTTCTTCTACTTCTTCTTCTTCTCTGTATGTGTGTGTGTGTGTGTGTGTGTGTGTGTGTGTTTCTTATTCTCAAGTTGGTCCAGGAGGTTCCGGGCCTCAACCGCCCTGACGCTTAATAGTGATATGTACGTTTTCTTCACGTGAGGAAGAGTCGAAGGTGGAGCGAGTCGAAGCGAAATGACGGAGGGGGAGGAGGTAGACTGACCGGAGTAGTCGCTTCCACCCGTGCCACGCCGTCCCGTGCCCGTAGGAGAAGAATAACTTCTGCTACTTCTTTCCTGGTGTTAATTACAAAACGCGAGAATAAATTGCCGGGCTAAATGAGTGCCCGGTATCTCTCGTCGGTCTTGTCACGTCTCTTCCTTCGTCCTACGACTCGCCGCCGCCATGACGGTCGAATGAATGAAGGTTGAACACCGCACACGTATGCACAACAAATGGAATTTATGAAGTATCGTAAAATCGATTTTTTTCTCCTAGTAAGTGATAAACTACAACATTATATATATCCCTGTATGTAATTCAAAAATGTATTTCATCAAATTTCAAAAAATTTTACATATATATATATATATATATGTGTGTGTGTGTGTGTATATATATAAAGAGAAAGGTCAATGTAGGTATATTAATATTAAGTCACAATTTACTCTTCATCCGATATAAATTGATCAAGCGAAAATTAAATTTGCATAAATTTTCCAACGATAGAAACTACTTGAGAACAGTGCAGCCAGTTTCGTGTTTGATCTTCGAAAATATTTTCCCCCGAGGCTCGCGCGTCGCGGGATTCGACTCGCCGTTGCGGTTCTTTTCGTCTTTTAGGTAAAGGACCGTGCGCTTCTTTCGGTCGACCAACTATCGGCGAACAGAGGGCCACGTGAAATTATTCGGAAGATATGCCCTTTGTGTTCGCCCTTTCTCCTTTCTATCCTCGATGTACCCGCGATCCCGTCGCCATTGTTCTTACCAAACGACGAAGTAGTCCACGCTCATCCCGCTCCATCATAAGCACGCTTATATATGTACATGTAAGAGCGTGTTTGTGCTTAGGCACGTATACGTTTACCCTTGACACCGACTCCCTCGAAACCCTTGGATTTAACCCTCGAACACCGACCCTTCGGCTACGGCCGATGACATCGCGACTCATCTCGAGTACCGCTGCTCTCTTCCGCGTCTCCGTTCCGATCGTCGAATCGTAAACCCTGACTCTCGATTTCTCGTTCTATTAAGACAGTACGTCAGTGATCGCGACGTTTATCTAAGCGCAAGAATCTGGGCCGATCGAAGATAAAATGGAGTGTAACGGAGAGACGTGCAATTGCCGTGGTATGTACACATGCAACGAAATAACTAATATTGTTCTTCGAGCGTGTGTTGGTACATAAACACAAGACGGGAAACACAGTTTCGCGCAGAAGGAATCCGGTTTTTCAAGTAATCGAGAGCTGAAGCAAGCAACCAGTCAGACAGCCAGCCAGCCAGCCAGCCAGCCAGTCAACCAGCCAGCTTACCAGGCGAACATCTCAGACCAGCAAGTAGGCAGGCGGGCAGCCATCGAGGTAGCTTCCAACGTCTGTTGAGTTTGGAAAGAACGGAGGAGAGAGTGGATGCCAGGTAGGTATCCACACCTCCTTGCTCCTCCTCCGCTTTACCGTATTCCTCTTTCCTCGTCCTTTTCCTTCTCCACCATCCTTCTTAATCGATCGATCGGACAACACGGAACATATTGAGATACACAGGTATCTCGCGACTGACGAACAAAACAAATCTATTTCTTATTAACCGCAGACAATTATAACTTGAATAACTCACAAATGATATTCGTACAATACTTGTTACGATACTTGTTAAGTTAATAATA